TGGAAAAAGATCACCAGGCCTTTCTTCCCAGTCCCTCTTAGTCTGGAATCTCTGCCAAAACCTGTTCAGCATCATAGCAACACACAGTCTACCACTGACAGATGGGTGGTGGCTGCACATGAGGTGTATTGGCTAGGAATCATAGCCAGGTCTTCCACAAGGAGTCAAGAATTCTACTGCTGAACTATCAATGCCTCTCCGTGCCAAATTACTGTATTTTAAAGTCCCTTGAAATAATCACTTCCTTGATGTATTTAAGCTGCCGAGCTTATACACAGATAAGTTTGTTTCCTTTTGCTTTTGGTTCTTAGGTATTTCTTTTCATTTTGAATTAATTTTGTTTTGTAACTGTTGTTGTTAGGTGCCGTAGAGTCATTCCGACTCATAGCGACCCTATGTACAACAGAACGAAACACTGCCTGGTCCTGCGCCATCCTCACAATCGTTGTTATGCTTGAGCCCACTGTTGCAGCCAATGTGTGAATCCATCTTGTTGAGGGTCTTCCTCTTTTTCGCTGACCCTCTACTTTACCAAGGATGATGTCCTTCTCCAGGGACTGGTCCCTCCTGATAACACATACAAAGTACGTAAGATGAAGTCCCGCCAGAACCATGGTCTATTTACACCTCCATCTTTCCAGAATCCCACAACACCACTTCTGATATTTGATTTGCCAATGTCAAATACTTAACAACAATCTCCATTTGGAGATAATATATTTCCGTTGATTCTATACACATAGGAAAGGTATCAGCAATATTTAGTTAAATATTGTCATTTTATAAGTCTAAATTTATTCATTATAAGTAGTTGTAAGCATTTAATGATTTATTTATGCCTTCTAAGGTAGTTGTGTATGATGACTAATATATTGAAATATAACCGTTGCTCATTATCTTAATTTACTTTCGGCATAATGTATGTAGATGTGTCATGTGATCTATAAGTTTCACTTCAGAAATGGTAGAGAAGTTGCTATATTTATGTATTTATTTTTTGGTATATGGAGAGCATTGAGATTGGGCTAAGGGCTACCACCTATGTATCTTTTATACTCTCGCTGGTCTCCCTGCTTAGTGTATATTTTAGGGTTGGAGGTGAGAACAAAAGTCAGGAAGAGGGCAACAAAGATAATTCTTTCTTAATCATTTGGTTTCTTTCAAAAAGCCTACTCTCATATTTCTTGTTTTCTCCTGCCCAGCTCTGCCTTTTCGAGATTTTGTGCTTCTCTGAGATAGGAACCCAGAAGAGGACTGATGAGCTCCTGCAGCTCTAAAAATCATGGCTCAGGTGAATTGGTGTTCCCTCATGCCTTCTTTAAATAGTCAGCTTTTTCAGAGTGTGTGTGTTTGTATTCATTATTCCTGAAACTTCCTTCCTAACTGAGCCCTACACAGGAATGTATCCCCAATTTGTCTCATTCTGACCCTCCTTACTACCTTGTAAGTGATAGTATCTTCCCTAAGTGCATCTGTCTTAGCTAGAGTCACATATCGATTAAACAGTCCACTCAACGTCTTTGACTAGAACTAATAGAAAAAAAGCAAATTCCCTGATTCGATAAGACAGAGAAAGATGTTAAATGGAATCACATGTAAGAAAACTTTGAACTTCTCTTTAGATCTAAGTTTCCTGTTTAGACAAGAAAGGAATTGGCAAGAACGCATGCTTTGTGAGCTTTTTGAGATTGACAACATAATAACATGATAAGGGGCTAAGGACAGAGAGATCAGGAATCTTCCCAGGGGACCCATATTTGGTGAATACCAGTAATAATGGATAATTTTATGGTTGAACATTATGTACTGTTCTAGAATGTGTAATTTAGGATTATAGTTTCTACACTTCTATTGCTTAGAACAAGGATAAGTTACATTTAGGAGTGATGAATAGTAACTAAGAAAGATCGTCACTCACATAATGAGTTGTTAAGAATTACAAACTCCTAGAACTAACAAATACTGAAATATTTTTATGTAACCTAAAATGGTCAAATGTGAACAATTATTAATTCAGATACATTCATTATATGGAGCTAATCTATAGCCAGTAATAAAAATATATACTAAATTATTTGTGAGAAGAAAAATACTTATAATGTAATATTCTGATATAAAGATGAACCTGAGGCTTTGGTAAAGTCTTTAATTTTATACAAATCCTATTTTATAAGACAGACATTTTATAAGATTTCATAGAAAGATTTCCCAAATTTTTCATCCCTTAAATAGAGAAGAGAGAAACTCACATTTATTGAGAATGTATGATATACAAGATAATAGGCTGCTTATGTATGCTTTTTTTAATCGAGACATGTCATTTATTTTATTAATTCCAAGACATGTGTGCATAGTGAGATATTCTATATGCAGGAAATGTCTGCAGCAACAGGAATAATCAGGAACATGTTGGCACTTCAGAAATACTAACTTCTTTACTGTCTCTCATCCAGAGGCTTTCCAGCCTTTTTGCTTTGTTACCCCATCGTGTAGTACCCTCTATCATCTCCCCTTCTGTTTAAAAAATATTCTTTATTTCCACAACTAATATTGTATTTGTTGTTTCAGAGTTCTTTGATGTTCAAGGATGTTGCCATTGACTTCTCTCAGGAAGAGTGGGAATGCCTGGACTCTGCTCAAAGGGATTTGTATAGAGATGTCATGCTGGAGAACTATAGCAACTTGGTGTCACTAGGTAAGGAGACCTTACCTAGTATTTCAGAATCTACCTTTGGAATAGTGTTTTCTCTTATTTTATTTCAAGGTGGCTTTTTAAGTAATGAACTCAATTTCTTGTTCTCAAAGGTATGGTTTGAAATTACTGCAAGTAGACACAGGTAGCTTCATAGGACATCTTTATTTTCTCCATCCTTCAAAAAGCCTTAACATTGCCTTATAATTACCCATCTTCCTTGATGATCAAAGAGCTAGATTTGAATTCTGAGACACTTGGAATATTGTCAGAAAAACAAGGCTATGCATTCTTACAGTATAAATCTTCTTGTTGTTGTTAGGTGCTGTCGAGTTGGTTCTAACTCATAGCAACCCTATGTACAACAGAAGGAAAAACTGCCTAGTCCCACACAGTTCTCACAGTCATTGTTATGTTTGAGCCCATTGTTGTAGCCACCGTGTCAGTCTATCTCATTGAGGGTCTTCCTCTTTTTTGCTGACCCTCTACTTTACCAACCATGATGTCCTTCTCCAGGGCCTGGTCCCTCCTGACAACATGTCCAAACTACATGAGACGAAGTCCCGCCATCCTCCCCTCTAAGTATTCTGGCTGTACATCTGTCGAGACAGATTTGTTCGTTCTTCTGGCAGTCCATGGTATATTCAGTGTTCTTCGCCAACACCATAATTCAAATACATCAATTCTTCTTCTGTCTTCCTTATTTATTGTCCAGCTTTCACATGTATATGAGGTGATTGAGAATGCCATGGCTTAAATCTGCTTAATCCACCACTGCCGTCGAGTCGATTCCGACTCATAGCGACCCTACAGGACAGGGTAAAACTGCCCCATAGGGTTTCCAAGGCTGTAAATCTTTCCAGAAGCTGGCTGCCACATCTTTCTCCTGCGGAGCGGCTGGTGGGTTTGAACTGCCAGCCTTTTGGTTAGCAGCCAAGCACATTAACCACTGCGCCACCAGGGCTCCTTTAAATCTGCTTAGAGGTACTGTAAATAATTCACAGGCCCAATCACCAATAACAAAATAAAAGTGTAGAAATCTATGGTTTTTTTGACTATCAGAAGAGCTTTTATCATTTATATAGCAATAGACTGGATCATTACATTCCACTCGTAACTCAAGTGAACACAATCTATTACATACCACAGACACATTCTCTTGTAAGTGCTTTGTGGTTGAATATTACATTTTAGGAAGTTTGCACTTTACCTTGAATGAATATGCCGGAATCTCCTTTTATTTGAAAAATGGCTCGGGAAGAACCTGTGATTGTCTGATAAAAGTTTCTTGTTTCTCCTGTAGCAGAATGATATGGGACAGAGCTTATGTCAGTTAAAACCTTAGTAACTAATTTTCCCACCTAGATGATCACTTTATTCCCTGTGCTCCTCAAGTCACTGGAATATAATGCCTCTTGCCCCTTCAGCCTTCTTTCCTCTGAAGGTTTTATTAAAGTTACTGGTTGGCACACTCCCTGAAGGACCCAGCTTGTGTGGAAAAAAGATCTAAGACTTGAAAAGCAAGAGCTTTTTAGCACGATCCCCCTAAGAGAGCCCACCTGATCACTACTTCTTCCTCTCCTGTTGGCCTTTTATTATCATCCTTCAGTGGAGGGAAGGGCTCTTCTTCTTCCCTAGTGACAACCTTTTATGTAAATTTCTTTCCAGATTGTTTTTATTTATTTAAATTTATGTAATTGTCTCTATTCTTAAAAATGTGTTCATTCAATGTAAATAAATACATTTATTGAGGGCATATTTTGTGCCAGGGGAACCCACAATGGAACAAAAGCAAATTCTCTGATTTGATAAGATAGAGAAGGATATTAAATGAAATCACACATAAGGAAACTCTGAACCTCTCTTTAGATCTGCATTTCCTGGTTACAAGTTAGGAGCTGGTCTTGACTAGGCTCAGTCTTAGTACATGGCAAGAGCTCCTGCTTTGTGAGCTGTTTACAATTGGGAATACAATAAGGGGCTGTGGCCAGAGTGATCAGGAATCTTCCCCGGGAACCCATTATTGACGAATACCAATAATGTGCATCATCTTATGGTTGAACATTCTGTGCTGATCTAGAACGTGTAAGTTAGGGTTATATTCTACCCTTCTATTGTCAGTATCCAGGCAGATAGGGTAGTAAGTATAAAGCCCTTGGGGTAGGCATGAACTTGGTTTGTAGGAGGAACAGATGTAGGAACATCGTCAGGAGAAGGATGTGTGATAAACTAGTCAGAAATAAAGACAGAGTTAGGCAGTAGAAGAAGCAATTTGACATTTTATTCTCTAAGGTGATGCCTTCTGACTTATGGCTGAAGCAAATGCAAGTCCTCTCGGGAGGAAAGAAGAGGACTTTAGAATTCTCACACGTTAGACTCAACAGAAGGTGAGCAAACCCACCAGGAAACAGGTCACAGGTGAGTGATAGACAATCTAAAGAAAAAGATTTACATGGCCGAAAACTTCAGATACTGGAATTATCGGATGTAGATATAAACTGTTTGCCTGGGAAATGTTAAAAGAAATAAACTAATTAAATTAAAAAAATGGCAAGCAATGAGAGATTTTCATAAATGAGCAGATTTGAAAGAGAACCAAATAGAGCATTTCTAAAGGTTCTGTTTAGTTCTTTTTCAAAAATAATCATTGAAATTTAATATTTGAAGGTTTAAACACGGTTTTTTTTTTCTTGTAGCAAAATAATACGGGACAGAGGCTATATCAATTACAACCTTAATAAGTAATTTTCTCATTACTTATGGTTTAGCACAGTTATGGTGAGAATTAGTGAACTGCAGGACATATCTGAAGAAATTAATGGGAATCCAGCACACCAAAGCTAGGAGATGGAAAGCAGGAGAGAAAGATTAAGAGGTAGAAGGATGAGATGAAAAGATTTAGCATACATCTGAGCAGAGGAGATAAAATATGTGATGAAATAATAGCTGAAGTGGAATCCCTGGGTGGTGCAAAGAGTTGAAGCGCTCAGCTGCTAACCAAAAGGTCATCATACTAAAAGACTGAAATGCAAAAGGCAACACTTTGTTAAAAAATAATCAAAATTCACCAAAACGTGAACATAGGTTTATTCTGTATGCATATAGGGAGGTCATTTTGATTTCAGAAAAAGCAGATGGCTTGAAGAAGCTAAGTACAGTGGGGCTTATAAAGAGAAAAGGAGGGAGAAATATAGAAAATCAATCATTGCCTAATCTTAACATGATTGATTGAGCCCTGCCTTCTCCCTTCACTGAGATCAGCTGATATCAGGTTACTTCTGGCCTGCAGCCATGAGGCTTTTTGAGATTTAAATTAGGAGAAAATGCTTTGTTGGCTATCCGTTTCTAGCAGGATAAGACATACATATTGCTATAGACAGTTTATGGCAGGCTTCTGCTGGTTAACATTTGGTTTTGTGGATAAGAAAAACCTTAAAATAAAAGTAAGATGTCTGTTACTAGTTTTTCTCTTTAGCAACTTTTCGAAGACTGTATACGGGAATATCTTTACAACTCTGGGGTGAATAAAGATTTCACAAACAAGACACCGAAAGTTCTAAGGATGATCCGGACCAGGATTGATCCTGTCAGTGGCTTTTCTTTCACCCGGAGTTGCTAGTCTTCCGGGTTGGAAGCCAAGCTTACTAAATTTGAATTTCAAAAGACACTGGGTGGAGGGCTGGAGGCCATCGTGTGACCTGATACCAGTTTGATCTTAGTAAAGGAGGGAGGACAGGGTTGATCAGTCATATTAAGATTAGCCAATGGTTGATCTTCTATATTTCTCCTTTCTCTTTTTATAAGCCTCATTGTACCTAGCTTCTTCAAGCCATTTGCTTTCTCTGGAATCAAAATGGTCTCCCTACATGCGTATAGAATAACTGCTCAGAGTAAACCTCATGTTAAAAAAAGTTTTAAGGATGAAATATTGGTAAATTTGACTACATGAAAATTATTCTCTTTATTGAAAGATATCATTAAAAGAAAGTAAAAAAGACAAGCCATGAATTGGGTGAAGATATTTGCAGCGCATATAGCCGACAATGAAATTAGCGTCCAGACTATACAAAGCTTCTACAGATTGATAAAAAAAAGATACATAACCCATTTGAAAACATGGTTGAAAGGCATTCATAGGCAGTTCAACGAAAAGGAAATGCAAATACCCACTACACATTCGAAAAGGTGCTTGACCTCATTAGCAGTCAGGAAGCACAAATTAAAACCACAGGGAGATAATTAAGTCACTCCTCCTAGATTGGCAAACCACCACCTGTCAGTTTCTCATACTATGGTGACTTGCATGTTGCTATGACATTGGACGCTATGCCACTGGTATTTCAAGTATCAGCAGGATCACCCATGGTGTATAGGTTTTAGCAGCATTTTCAGACTAAGACAGATTAGGAAGAAAGTCCTGGCGATCTACTTCTGAAAATTAGCCAGTGAAAACCTTATGGATCACAACAGAACGTTGTCCAACTTGCTTGCTTTGGATGTGTCATCAGGAGGGACCAATTACTGGAAGAGAACATCATGTTTGGTTAAGCAGAGGTCCACTGAGGGCAAGGGAGACCCCTCGGTGAGATGGATCAGCACAATAGCTGAAATGATGGACTCAAACATGCCAGTGATTGTGAGGAGGACGCAGGACCAGGCAGGGTTTCATTCTCTTGTACATAAGTTCAGCATGAGTCAGAGCCAAGTCAGTGTCAGCTATCAGTCTAGATTGGCAACAAATAAGAAGTCTGACACTCCAAATGTTGGCAGCCTTTGGAGGTAGAAGTGCTCTATATCTCATTATTCACAGTAGGCAAAAAATGAAACCCCGAATGTCCAACTGTTGAATGGATAAAATGTGGTATATTGTTATAGCTCAGTATTAGTCAGCAATAAGAAGGAATGAAGTTCTGATACATGCTACAACATGGATGAACCTTTACTTAAGCTAAGGGAAAGCAGCCAGTCACAAAGGACTACAGACTGTATGATCTCACTTATGTGAAATGGCTAAAATAGGCAAATCTAGAGACGGTACATTCGTGGTTGCCTAGGTCTGGGGGAGGCAAAGGAGTGGGTGCAGAGTAGGGGAATGGGGATTGACAGCTAGTAGGCACAAGGTTTCTTCTTGGGGTGATAAAAATGTTGTAAAACTAGGTTGTGGTGATTGTTGCATAACTGTGAATATAGTAAAAACCATTGAATTGAACATTTTAATGAATGAAGTGTAGGTATGTGAATAATATTTCAGTGAAGGTAGTTGTTTTGTTTTTTTAAGTGCTCTATAGCCTACTGATGAAAGTATCAATTGGTATAACCACTTCGGCAAACAATGTGGGAGTGGTTTCTAAACTTGTATGCACTTTAGAAATAGCTGGAGGTCTTTAAAAAAAAATATCAGTGCCCAGGACACACCTAAGACCAATTAAATCACAATCTCTGGACATGGGAACTAGATATCATTATTATTGTTCAAATGTTCAGAAATGTTTGGTAACCACTGAAATTTGATGTTATTTGAGAATCTGTTTCTTATAAATTTGTGGGTTCACCTCATTTAATTGTTATTGCAATATGTTTGAGTTTATTTCTCTCCTATTTTATGCTTTCCATTTACTCTTTTTATCTTTTATGCTTCTTTTTAAAATCTCTTTCCTTATTTGAGTTGAATGATTTTTTAAAAATTCCATTTCCCCCCCCTTGTTTAATTTGGAAGATATACACTATTTGTATAATTTTAATGGCTACCCTTAAAATTTTATGATGTCCACATAATTCACTTTAACGCAAATGAAATTTTATAGATTTTATTAATTATAATAGTATTTGAAAACGTACATATTTAATGCAACACTATTTATGCAGTGGGCTACAATATTTGATTTGCATACTGCCTCACAGAAATCTTGCAGTAAACTACCTGCTCTGCACCACCATCACCACCAAGGATTTTATGGTCAACACGTTGAAAAATACATAAAGTATAGTGTCCACCATGAAATAAATTGATGACAGTTGTGGCAGTGAGTCAAGGTTCCATAGAGATATGAGAGATTGACATCTCAATGTCAAATATGTATTTCATTGTTACAAAATTCTTGTCAAGAGAGTACAAGCAGTGTATGACTGTACTTCTTTCTCTACGCTTTTACCAACATTGGATAGTATCACTTAAAACTATTTTTGTCAATTTATAGATTAAAAATTAACATATCCCTGTGATTATGGGTGAGTTTAAATATTTTGGGGGTATTTCTGCTTGTTTTGGTCATGTAATCATTATGATTATTATGTTGGTGTCACTAGCCAAATACATTCTTAATTTAACAGTCTAAAGTTACTGTCTACCTTCCCCCAGCACAATATAAGGATCTTAGAATGCTTTAACTTTGATCAGTGTCTCCCATCTATCTTATTATTGTTGTTTTGTATTTTAGTTCTGTTTCCTTTTTTAACCCCCAAAATGAAGAGTATTTTTATTTTATAATGATAAAGTTTGCTTAGATTTGTTCACGATTATCCTTTTTATTTGCACAGTATTCCTTAAACAGTTTGCACTCAACTGCTAACCTAAAAGCTTGGTGGTTTGAACCCATCCAGCAGCACCAAGGAAGAAAGACCTGGCAATCTGCTTCCATTAAGTTTACAGCCAACTAAACCCTATGGAAAACAGTTCTACTCTGTAACACATGGGGTCGCCATGAATCTGAATTTACTTGATAGCAACGCATTTTGTTTTGTCTTTTATTCCTCTCCCATCATGTCTTTCTTTTAGAATCGTTTTATTTATCGTGAAATACGTTAGTGAAGGCCTATTGCTAGTAAATGCCCTCAGTTTTTATTTTAGTTGCTATTGTAAAATAACCTTGTTGCACTGTCATTCTTGTCTGATGATTTAACTGGGCATAAAATTATATATTGACAATTATTTTTTTCTCAGCTCTTTGAAGATATTATTCCACTGTCTTCTGGCTTCTGTTGTTGCTCTTGAGAAGTCTGCCATCTGTCTCATTGTTGTTCTTTTTGTAAGTAATCTGTATTTTCTCTTTGGCTGCTTTTAAGATTTTTTCTTTAGGATTTTAGTACAATTGATTATATTATTTCTTTTACAGAAATTGGTATTTACTCCATCTCTCAGATCTGTCTTTTCTTTTTGCTTCTACATGGTCCCTTTCTCATATTTTCTATTTTATATTTTCATATAGTTCAAGCATTTATATTGTATGTGTTATTCAACAATATGAGTTTCTGGGGAATAAGTCTATTTCTGGGTGTTACTTGCATGCAATATGTAATAATGAATTATCCATAGGATTTTTTTCTCCTTTTCATTGAGAGTCCAGGCCAAGTCTGAAACATTCCTTGTTGTTTTCTTTTGCAGTCAGATGGATTTTTTCCCCCTTTCTCTAAATTGTAGT